GATTTAAGGAACAACTTTTGTACTCTGCGCTGCTAATTAGTATAATCCGCTGGCTAATTAGGAGGCTAAATTAACGATTTTAAAAGGCCATAAAAACATTCTCTGCTTAAGCTAAGCTTATTACAAATTCAATCCATTTGGTGTAAAGGGAATTTAAAAATATGTTTCGTTGTAGTAAATATTTATTTATTAATCTTCAGACCTTCATGGCCATTGAAGCCCTGGGGCGTATACAGCGCCAAAACTCGCTCAAACTGAAAATGAAACTGGCCCAGACCCACAGGCAGAGGATGAGGCAAGGGCAAGGGAGTGGCAAGACCGTGTACTGTCGCACAGCAAGTGGATTCTACGTGGGGCTATATACGTATATATTTAAACAGGGACACGTACGCAATTAATTGCAGAATTATTACAAATTTCATTACATGCTAAAATATGCAAATTGTGGACCATACCCTGCTCCCTTGTAGCCTGTCCCTGCAATTAAATGCATTTGCATACAAAATAAATAAATAATGCAGATGCAACAGCGGCAACATTTTGCCGCATTAACTTTGTCGCCGATGTGCGAAAAATGAAAGAGGGAATTTTCTTTTAATTATCATTTTAATGTGTTTATGAAACATTTGGAATTGTACGCGAAAATTGCTCCCTAAATTGCAGCGGGGCAGCTATCGAGGGACAGCGTGTGTGTGTGGCGGGGGTGAGAGGGATTCACATAGAATGAAATTACAGGGTGTGCAGTGGTGGAGGGGGGGGGGGGGCAGATGCATTAACTGAAATGCCATAAAATTGCAACAAAATGTTCACAGGCAGCTGTCGCCGAGCCGAGGGGTGTTCGAGTGGTTCGCCATTCCACGGGGTTGGAACTCGCCCCCCGCTCTCTATCTCTTGCTCGGCAAATTGTTTGCTGCCTGTCTACATAAATATTGCATGTCCACAAAATATTTGGGTTAAAAACATTTGCACAGAGAGAGCCAAAAGAGAGAAAAATGTATTTATTTTATTTGCATGATTGCACAGGGCGATGTGGATGTGGATGTAAATGCGGAGTCGAGTGAAGTGGCGGGCTGGACGGAAGGCTAGACGGCAGCTCGAGTGACGGGCCGAGTGGCGTGTGGCATGAACAAGTTTTGAGTACACGTTGAGGAGTGTGTACCTCCTCCTCCTCCTCCTCCTATGATTCCTTCTCGCTTCCCTTGTCAGTCTCTGAGGATTTAAAACATAGCCACCCATGTTTTCGGGGTTTCGTGGGCTTCTCCTTCTGTTCGGGCTTCTCCGTCTGTTCGGGGTTCTTTGTCGAACTCTTTTCATTCTTCACACGCACTCGTGGCTCGGGCTGCTCTTGCGGCTCAAGATCAATCTCCTCACCGGGTGGAATTTCATCGGGCAGCGAATCCTTGGTAGTCAGATGTTCGGGTCGTCGCGGCAGCCTCGGATCACGTGAGCGCTGATGGGGGCTCGTGCCACAATCCGGTGGACCTCGACCGCTGGCACAGCAGGCCAGTCGGACAGTGTCGTCCTCGTCCAGGCGGCCAAACTCGCAGTAAAGTTCGTCCACCTTCCGCTGAAGAGTGGTGTGCAGGTTGTTCTGCTTGCAGAGCATCGACTCCAGCTCCTTGATGCGCTGCTTCTGTGTCTTGATGACCTTGCCCAGCACGCGGCGCACCTGCTGCTCGCATTCGCAGCCGCAGGGCGGCTGCTCGTAGTGCTCCTGGGTGTCGGGGCAGCAGGGCGGGTTGCAGCAGTCCTCGTCCGTCTCCTGGAGGCCCACCGTCGGCTGCTTGGTGCACTGCTCGCACTTGCATGGACACGCGTCGGTGGGGTGGGCGCCACGGCCGAGGACCAGCACGTCCGTGCAGCCAGGCATGCAAACGGCGCAGTCCCCATTTCGCTTCCTTCCTTTGACGTCCGTAGAGCTTCGCTGCCGAATCTTCTCGATCTTTTCATCCTCCTGCACGGGCGTGCGCAGGACGGTGACCTCCGTCTCGTCGATGTCCGGGAAGCTGGCGCCAATGTCCTCGAACAGGGACTCCTGCACAAAGATCTCCGTGTCCGAGTCATCGGGATTGTAGAGCTTCGGGGCGGATCGCCTCGGGGCGGGCCCCGCAACGCCTCCGTCGTTCTCCCCCGGCTCCTCCTTGATCTCAACGCAGGACTGCCCCTTGCCACAGTACGACGGCAGCGAGGCTCCGTTGATCAGCAGCACGTTAACCGCTGGACACTGCGGCGGATCCTGATCCGGGCACTCGCAGCCATCGGTGTCCGCCTCCCTCTTCTTTCGGCGTCGCACATCCTCTGCCCTTTCCGACACGCGCTGCTTTCTGCTGATCCTCTTGGAGCGCCGCACAAAGTCCGGGATGTGCTCGACGCAGACGCAGCAGTGATGCTGGATGCTCTCCACGCACACATCCTGGGCCCCCATGCTCTGCTGCCAAATGCGCGCCTCCTGCTGCGTCTTCGGGTAGGTGTACTTCTCGTTGCCCTTCGCATCCACCTCATGCAGGGGCTCCATGCCACAAATCACACAACGACGAGCCATGGGCATACACAATTTTCAATCAATTCAAAGGGTTCAACTATAAAAGAGAATTTTGAAAAAGAATTTTATGGAAATATTTTGACATCTTCGGAAAGGAAAGGCAAAGGCAAAGGCAAAGGCATGATATTCTGATTTGTTGTTAAAGAGCTCTGGATCCAGCTCTAGCTGCAGCGGCAGCGGCAACGGCAGCGAGTGTGGCAATCTCGTGTAATTGTTGCTCTCTTTTTTGTGGTATGCACGCTTTGAATGCCTTTGGAGGCACCACTAGTCGTAGTATAACGACGCACCTTGCGGTTTTTGCGGCAAGTGAATTGGGCTGTGAAAGCCAAACGCAGTCGTTGCATGTGGCGTGGACTGGCGTGGAATGGAGCGAACGAGTGAACGGAGCAGAGTAGAGCGGAGCGGAGTGGATTTTTCTGATGACTGTTATGAGGTGGGAATGATTTCGAAATCGCTGTGGGACTGCACTGCATCTCTGGGGAGGCGGGGCTTTGACGACTGCGCTCCGCAATTCCTTTGGTATGCCGCATAAAGTGGAACAGAGGAGATTGTTATGTCGAAAGCAAAAACTGCAGCAAAAGCAATTGATTGTGGTTGAATGCATAAAAAAGAAAATCAAACCAAAGAAACTGGAAAACTGTGAAAAATTGGTCCAAGAATTTAAAGCAAAAAAAAAGAGAGAAAAAGAAAAATCCGAAAAAGTGTAAATGGATAGTTATCCCAAGTGGGCTTTGAACCTCGGAATAATTCTTGCAATTACGAGATTTCTGAAGAGAGATCACAGTTATCGTTAGTTATCTTTCACACGTCAAATGATCACGCTTGTCAGTCGGGAGAGTGAGGTTCAATTCCTCGTCGGGGTGGAGTTGCAACAGAATGTTCCAGTTGGCTTCTTTTTTTGCAATTTTTATTATGGAATCGAAATTCAATAAACCTCAACGCAGAAATTCATAAATTTCCTGAGCTATTGCGATATTCCAAAGCCTCGAGGCTGCCGCTGGAAAGTCACGCCCACACCCAGAAATACCCACAATAGACACGAGAAATAAAATAACAAGTGCGTTTCGATTCGGTCAAGCCTAAAAATCTGCGCCAACCGCAAAACAATAGATGGAATAGTTTTTANTATTTTGTGGTGGGGAAGGGGGGGGGGGGGGGGGGGGGGGCGACAATCTACGACCAGTGGACCACAAAAATCACGTTATTTCAATCAGAAATGGGTCTCTATCTATGAATCTCTGTGTGTGGTGTGTGTGTGTGTGTGTGCGTTTATCTGTATCTGGCCTGGTTTGGCATTCTTCAAATGCCTTTTTGTGGGTTAACGCCCACAGGCGCACGAAAAATTTGAATAATCTGCTGCCGTAATATCGCCAATTTATCACTGGGCGTTAGTCCCATTCCAGTTCCGATTCCAGTATCCAGTTGCTGTCCCAAGCAAGCAGCCAACACAACACTCTGACTGGACACATAAAACGAAAGCAAATGTGGGAAGTTCACATTTCACTTTCATTTTGGGGAAGACAAGAGACCGCTCGCTCGGCCGCCTCTGCTCCATTGAGTTTTCCCAATTTATCAATGGCAACACGGAGGCGCGCTCTTAATGAAGAATTATGTTCATAATTTTCAAATTTATTGTCGCACATCTTCCCGGTTGTTCCCGGCTTGCTCATGCTCCCACTGAAGATCAACATGATGATGATGATGGTGATGGTGATGGTGATGATGATCAGCACTGATGATGGGGGCTGTCCAACACTTAAGTGTGTCAAAATGTTGTTGCCGCCACGCCATGTGGCACAGCTATGCTGGCTATGCGGCTGCCTCTCCATGCTCCTCTGCCTTTGGTGGAGAACCATCATCGTGTCAGTTACAGAGACACTTTTCAAATATTTATGATGCGTCTAGTCGAACACACAATCCAATCCACACACACTACACACAACACACAACACACTCCACTCCACACTCAATCTGCTGCTCGCTGCCATAACTCCATGTTCGGTTCACAGTTCAAAAAGTCATTTCAAGTTTCTTGTTACCGATTCAAGTGAAAGTTTCCCCCAGTTTTCAGTTTTCCCTTTCTCTCCAGCTCCAGCTCTAGCTATTAATTTTCACTTAGTCACAGCGTTCTAGTGGGGAAAAGTATTCAATTTCCACTTTGTCTTTGCAATCCTTTAAATCGAAACAGATGCCAAAACATTTTCATTCTACAACATTCGGCAACAGTTTTCAAGTGGATTTAATTTGTGATGGATTTTATGTTGGATTTTCTTTCATTATATTTTGTCGAATTATTTTTAGACTTTTCTCCTCTCTCTCTCACTAATTTAGTGTTCGTTCAAGCTGAATGCGCTTTTCGGGCTGTCTTCTCGCGTGGTATATAGACTTAAGTGCTCATGAGAGAGTGGAAAATTTATGTGACAGCTTATTAAATTTATATGTTTGCTCTTTATTACAGATTATTCAGAGAGAGAACGAGAGCCAGAGAGTGATTGGAAACGCATGTGTTCTTCGGGTAAGTGGTTCCCTCTGGAATGGGCCTCGAGTCAATAAGTTGGATTAAAGAGCTTTTAAACGGCAGTTTAGGTTAAGCCGGATTGATCTGGAACACATGTATTTGAGTGCAGGGAACATCTCTTATAAAAGTGGGAAAATGTATCCCAAATGGGAAGGGAGTTTATCCAGTCATTAGAAGATCTTTAGAGCTCTCACTGCCCCAGTAAACCACTCCTCTTAATCTGTATTTTCTTGGCCCAAAACCCCATTCGATGCAGAGTTAACCCAGTCACACCTTCGGCTAAATGGTTAGCTCCGGCATCCACTGGAGGCTCCTCCACTCATCCCCACGCGATGCAAAACTCTTTATGCAGACGCAAAACTGCACGAAAGTTGATGTGAAAATTCACACTATGCGCCGCTCACACATGGAAAGCCAGCCAGACGGAGTTCGTACGCCTGCCCCCGAGGCTGTGCCCAGAAAAAAATGGTACTCGGTTGTGGCACTTCATTAAATAGACGCCATGGCGGCGCGTTTCCCCCAACAAAGTGAGGAAAAAAACCGAGCAAAAAAAGAAGAAAAATCCGTTGACTGCGCCACACCCCCCACATTACGAGCAGCTCCAAAAGTTGCTTATTTTTCACACATGCGCGTCAACAGAGGGACACACAAAAAAAAAGAAGAAAACAAATTACGAGAGGCAGAAATTTAAGCAACAAATTTGGTTTCTTTTCTTTTTTTTTTACTGCCTCTGCCCCCCTTTACACATTGTTTATGATGACAATTTTGCTGTTGTTGTCGACATGTGGCCGTAAAGTTGTCGGTAAATAACAAACAGGCCTCGGAGTCTGTCCTTTACACCCCGTAAAACTCCCTCCCTGCCACCGCTGGCAACCACAAAATTTGCGCTAAAATTCTAGGTGAAACTTGAATCTCTACTCGGAAATTGTTTATAATTATTTGCATATTTATCTGCGATCATAATTTAAACCCATAATTGACTGAGTAAAAATCATTATAGAAGCGGAACGACCTTCAAGCCTCCTCCACTTGAAGCTGGAAATACTCTACTCGTAATTTCATAATTTTCTATGCTGATTACTTCCACGCAAAAAGCTGACAGCGCAATTTGTTTGTGCTTTTTCGAAATATTCCTATTCCCAACATGTAATTGTCGTTTTGTCAGGCAAACAATGGACTCTGACAAAATACACAGCAAATAAAACGAAATACAGAGAAAAATCAACAAATCCAAGAGCTAGAGCCAGGCCCCACCCATAAGCTGTCTATTGTATTGTTTTGGCTTCAGCGTCGCATAAATAACCACAAAATTAGCAGGCAAATAAGTCAGGTCGAATGTAAACTCGTTTTTGGCAGTGGAAACACCTGCAAACAGCTGCAGAACCCGAGCCGATTCTTGGCGTATTCCATGTGCTAAATCACCTGCACAAACCACGCTCCAGCTCTGGGCCCGGTGGGGCCAAAAGTTTATCCAACTAATTTAAATTTATAGACTAGAGATCTACGCTAAGATGTGGCTCGGGGTCTCGAGCCTGCTGATTTATGCCCCGAGATTGTCACCAGAGATATGGAAAATGATATACAGAGCGCAGATACCCTGCTAACCAATGAGAATTCTATGTAAATTGGATCCGCCACAGATACCAGTCATGTGGAATGCCCTTAGCACAGGTGCTGATCACAGCGAGTGGCACTTGTTGAAGGGTTTTGTGTGTGTCTGACTGAAGGTCGATGACAAAAGCCGCTTACATTGGGGATTATTTTGTAGGATTGTTCTGCTCAGCTCTTTCGAATCAATCGGCATACGCAAACAACGCCACAGCCATAGCCAGAGCAGGGGGGTACGAGGCACGTCTAAATCTCACATCAAAAATAAGTTCATCTTCATAAAAAGCGAGCGGGGAAAGGAGTAAAACAAAAACAAAGAGATAGACTCGTAAAAACCGGCAGCGAGTGCCCCTCAAAGACCCAGCAATCCAACCATCCATCCATCCATCCATCCAGCTGCGAGAGATAGTTTACTGGCGGTAATCATTTCCCCACGCCACCCTCTTGGAGCCGTCATAAACACTTGAAAAACTGTTTGGAAATTTCTGATGTACCACTTACAAGTGGAGCTCAGGAGCTCCACGGGCATGGGGCTCTTTGGGCCTTTGCCTGGGCCATCCTTCAATTCCTCCAAATTATATATTTAATGTGTGTGTCTGAGATTTCGATAGAGGCGTGAACCTGTTGAAATTCGTATCCAGCAGATACCTCTGGTACTTTCAAAAGTATCTTGTGGCTCCCCACCTCAGGCAGTGTCTGTGCCTCTGTCTGAGCTTTGATTGAAGATGAACTTCAATGGAATACCCAAAAGGAATGGCCGAGAGAAGCGCAGACAGACCCCAAACGAGAACAACAGCACAGAATCATCATTTGTTAGAACCTGTCGATTTAGATTCAGTTGGCAGCCCATCGACCCTAATAGCATTTGAAAGTTATCGCGTCTACGAGTATGACGAGCATCTATGAGAGGTTTTCTGTTGCTGTCTTGGCTTTCTTTCGGCAAAGTTGGCTAATTGCCATATTAACCTTTGGGCCCCCTACAGGCACAGGCACAGCAACAGCAACAGCAACTGCGATGATGATGATGATAATAATAATAAACTAAAGTCCGACTGTGTCGGGGCACGCTTTGTGCGGCTTTGCCTTATTTGCAAGTTGGATTTGATGACGGCCCTGGACCAGTGAAAGTAATTACTTGACTTGCTCCAGGGTGAAAGCTGAGCATTTAATTGCTGCCACTGCCACTGCCACTGCGAGTTGTGCCACTGCATAATCAATCAGCGAGCGGGCCACATGTGTTGTAATTGTGAGGTTCGTTGGCTCGCTCGCTCCGTGGATAGCGAAAGTGATCGCTTAGAAACTTCTGTGCGTGTCACGACCCGAGGGCCAAAGAGCTGGGAGATATCAATGAACGGTTAATTAAACGAGCGACAAAGATCTAGCGGAGAGTGTGAGAGGACGGGGGGAAACTAAGGCACAAAAAAAGAATAGCAATGATCTGCCAAACTTGAATCCAGGGGTGGAATTACCCCATGAAGGGACAGACAGTTGAAGGATCAATAAGTTTGGGATATTGATTCGCTTACCATACCATTTCCTCTGAATATACCCCACAAGTTTCATGATCCAAAAACTCACACAGTTGTCCATATCAGGGATCCATCGACTTTTATGCAAATTTCTGAAGATGGAATGGAAATATTTAAAGCAAAAGCAAAAATCATTACATGGTTGAGTTTACTTGAATCTTTATGCTTGAAATCTTTGCATGATTTATGGTTTGATCGGCCAAGAACGAAGATCTTTAGAGCGAGACTCTCACGGTCCGCACCTCCGAATGGGACGATGCGTTACCCCACTTAGTGGCATGAGAAGCGGACTCCTTTCCCTTCTTATTTGTCGGAGTCCCCGTACTAAATCAACCCCCATCCGAAGACATTCCCAAGTGTATTTCGAAAAACTGTGCCAAAGATCTCCTTCAGCGATCTCTTTCTGTTTCTCTCTGCCTATCCCTGTCTCTCTGTGTTCCGTGGTGTCTCCCAAGCTGATTGTATCGAGAAGTGACCCCATAGCAACACACAAAAGAAGAAGTGAGCAGCCACCGATCTGGATCAGAGATCATCAGCGGGGGGAAAGAAACTCGAAACAAAAAGCGAGTCAAGAAATGAGCATCAAGCTGAGATGATTGTCATAATTAAGGATGTTGGATGTTGGATGTTGGATGTTGGCATCTGCCAGACGAAGACGGAGACGCAGAGATCCAAGGGTGGGGGGAGCACACACCACTCCACGCGAGGAAAACCAAACAGATAACCGTAAGAACAAGTTTGTGCCTCTTGTGATGCTCTGCTTTTGATTCACAAAAGATCCACAAACGCACACAAGCAAAAGCTTCCGGTGGAGTTCAGGTTTGCCTTTTCTTCTTCATCTGTGCACCTCCATCCTCCAGCTCGTTGTCGTTGTTGTTGAAGATCAGCCCCTGAACATCTCATAATTGCAGCTAAGCAAAATTATATAGCCCAAGACGAGATCCAGATCAGAGAGACAGAGCAGAGAGAGAATGCGACTGGGTTTCCCTCTTGTCTGTGCAAATATTTCCAGGCGCAATCCACAGCAACAATTACGGCGGCAATCTGTGTTGGGAGCGAGTGAGCGCAAAGAGGGGACCGCAGAATGCAAGAGAGACAGAAAGGCAGAGAGAGGGAGAGACAGACGGAGAGCGTACCCAAGAGGGTTGCCTTACACTCAAGTCGCACTCGCACTCGCACTCGAGACAAATGTATATCATTCATCAAATTAAAAGTTCAACTGCATTGCAGGCCTGGCCTGTCTGCCGTGAGCCTCTTCGTCTTAAATTGATAAACGGGTGGCTTGAGCACTTCGCACAGAAGAAACCACAACAACAACAGCCTACTCCACGGTCAACCCTCGCTGCCTGGTGGCAGCCAGCCTGTCATCTTCAGCGTGCAACATGACCGCAGCTGCAGCAGCTCAGATGCAACAACTGTTGCTGCCGCCGACTGTTGCTCTATTTTACAGCCAGTTCTCTTCGCTCTCTTGTGTCTCCTCTCTGCTCGCTGTTCTCTGCTGACGAATGCCAATCATTGGCCTGCCTGACTGTGGCCTGAGCCTGAGCCTCCGTCTCTGTCTCTCGGCTGCTCCTCATCTTTCGAATTCATTCACTCAAACATCAGCTGAAGTGGCTTCTCTGGCCCATGCCCGTGCCTCTCGCTGCCACTCTGCCACTTGTTGCCAGCCAGAATGCAAGTTTTTATTTTCATTTTCCTTCAACTCTGGCCAAAATGCTTATTAAAAGGGCTTTTCAACTTGAATGGTTTCCTTTTGGGTCGGGGCGGGGAGGCCACTTCTCTCTGCCACACACACACACACACAAACACACTCTGGGATTATTTTCATGGCTTCATATAACCCATCCCCCCCGCTCTCTC